CATTATCAATACAATAAGACATTTTATTAGACATGCTCATTACTGATGCCAAAGACAATCACAATTGATAAGTGATATTTAAAATTGTCAATGGAATAAAGGAGATAAGCAGAAAATATTAGCAAAAGTTTTTATATTGATAAGTTGCAATGTTTCATACATAATTCATAGGCATTATTTATAAAGGACGTTTAGATGTCGAGATAGTGTTTGTCGGCAGAATTCTTATAATTTATGGACTATCGCAACACATTATGGTGACATCTAAATAAACGCCATCATCATATCTACTTTCAAAGTATTAGAACGCAAAGTGTACGTATCTTCTGACAGTTGATTAACTTTTGTTTCTGTATAAATAATTTTTACGTCTAATCCAACTCACTTGAGATACGATCGCTCGACCAAGAACGAATAGATGTTAATTGATTGTAGGTATTAGAAGTTCAGACCGAAATTCGATGATATCATCGCGTTACCAAGTTCCCTGTAGGAGTGTGCTGCATGTGGCAGACATCTAAAGTATGGTCAGATGGGAATCGGATACATATTTTGAATGTAATACCGACATTGATGTTCGTAAATTAATGTCATCCATTTTGTTTTTCATGTACACCATTCTGCTTCTCTTGTGTTTTCAACGGTTTTATTATTTCTACATCATTTAGCTGTTCGAGCATCAACTGTTGTTTCTTCTTCTTCTTCTTTGGTTTCCTAAAAAAAAATTTGTCCAAAGACATGTTATTTATATAATATCTGAAGTAATAAATTGCACGGAATAGATAGGGAAGACTTACTTTCCAAAAAGTTCACCGTCTTGAATCGATTCAGGAAGTTTTTTGTTCAGAGTCTCCGGAAGAAGAAGAGACATTAATCCACCAAATAAGGCGCAAGATCCGAATATAACCAATGGTAATGGCATCCATACTTCAGACTGGAACGATTAGAGATAATATGTTACATTGATGATTTCACATAATGTGATATCGGACATGATATGTTTATCTTCGGAAGTTTCTATATATATCTGAATATTGACAAAAAAATAATGTGATAAATAATATACCAAATGATTAACATATGGAGCGATAACTCCGCCAATTCGGGCAAAGGTGGAACTCGCGCCCAATCCGACGTTTCGAATGACAGTCGGAAATTGTTCGGCAGTAAACACATAAATTGCGCCATAAGAGGAGGTAATAGCAAGTTTTCCTATCATTGCTGAACAAACGATTAACCACGGCATATCTGAAAACAAACAAATTTGTTTATTTTTTATTATTTTATTATTTTTTATTATTTTATTATTTTTTATTATTTATTGGTATTTTTATTATTAAGATAATTAGCTATCAGATTTATTCCAATATAAATACTGAATTCACTTAAAATATTCTTTCGCAAATAACAAAAAACAGTTTTATTCGGACATACATATAAGAAAATATAAAATCGTCATGAATAAATAAAATTGTTAATTTATATCAAATTATCAAGTTATACTTACTGGCAGGAATAAATAACGTGGCAAGTAATGCTAAGCCGGACAACATCATACATCCACAAATAATGATCTTTCTGCCCCAACGATTTAGAGTAAAAATTAAGAATGTGTATGCCGGTACTTCCACAATCCCAGATATCACAAAATTGACGTAGTCGTTACCACCAAGATTGGACGCGTGCCAAGATAATCCGTAGTACGTACCACTGTTAACGAGCCTACATGAATGAAAAAATCAAAATTAAAACAAAACCATCAAACAAAAAGTCTGTTTTCTATGGCTAAACTAATATGTATACTTTTGGAACTTAAAATGAGATAGGTATTTGTTAGATATTTCGCGAAAGTGAGAAAGAGAGTTCTAGTGTAAGAATAAAAAATAAAAAATAGACCTATAAAAAACAAAATATGAAACAATTAATGAAACAATCGTACCAATTAAAAAACAGAAGAATGCTCTTTCGCCTTAAGTTCGGATAACGGAATAAATCGAAGAGCGAAGGCTTTTTCGTATCGGGCATACTATCTTCACTGTTATTATTAAGAAGCGTATCTAAAACCTCGCTCGGCATCTCTACACCATTTTCCAGAGAAGCACGTTGCAGCAAATCCTTCGCTTCTTGGAGTCGGCCTTTCGTTAGAAGCCATCGAGCGGACTCGGGAATAAACCTACCGCGAATCAGATCACCTTGTAAATAGCAACGCCGGCTCCAGAATTATATATTACTTGGAATACACCTATTATATGTCGTACCACCAATAAAGTAGAAACGCGATACTTGGTACCGTGATAGCTACTTGCAGCATTCTCCAGTCGGTAATAAAATATGCGAAACCAGCGGTGAGTATGTATCCGGTAGTAAAAAATAATTGGCAACCAACACTGGCTACTAGCCGCTTTTTCGGTCCGACCATCTCCAAAGCTGGAAGAGATAAATAATTACATTTATATGTAATCTCTTCGCTCGCGTAATTTTAAAAACGGATACTCAAAAGCTCCTATTTCGACAAAATGCTAAATTGTAAATAATAAATCAAACGATATTGGTAATCAAATTCAGTTTACCTATGACATAAGCTACTAAGAACACCCCACTGGTGGTTGAGCCAACAATTAGCCTGAAGATTACGTAGGAAATAAACTCGGGCGCGACAGCGACTAGTATACCGCCAGCCAGCTGTATGACTAAAGACAGGAAGAAAATTGGTCTACGACCATATTTATCGGACAAACCGCCGAATATCATCGAGCCAAGCATGACTCCTACCATGAACAACGAGTCCCCCGTCGCTCTCAGCCACGCCTTGTCACAGACCAAGTCCCACTGCAAAAAAAAACATCATCTGTTTAATAGATATTCTTTAAATTGAATTTCTCTCCGTCTCGTTGTCTGATTTCTATTCGTATCTTATTCGTACAAGAATTGTCGAGAAAAACGCGCACGAGTGATAACAAGATTTCGCAAAAACTATGACTACATAATTATTCCATACCTCGGAAGTGGTTGTACTTTTGTACACGCTTCTATCGTACACATAATGCTTGCAACTACTGATGCCTCCCTCTTCGGTGCCGTTACCAATAGCAGTTCCAATAATCGTGCTATTCACAAGGCCGATAATGTCACGCCTCATGCACTGGGACCATCCTCGGAGTTCGTAGTCCCATGGATAGCTCGCGTTCAATACATCCTGGCTTAGATGAAACGTGACGTTCTCCGCGTTCTCATGTGGAAGTAAACATCTGGAGGCAAAGGAGTTTCTCGTTTTACCGTTTTAAATTCCTCGTAATCCATGTAATTATCGTTTACTCGAACTGTTACCTCGAATCCATTTTGGCTCCGAGAAATACTCCAGCTAGCTTGTGAAAGGCGCACGATATTGCTGGAAGACAGAGTAGAAGATAAATCCTGCGCTGATAGCGACCAAACTCGCCCATACGAAGAATAACGTCGTCGTATGCCATTTCGTCCGGAATATATCCTGCGTTTCTGTATTTATGATATTTCTCAATGCGTGAGAGAAAACTTTTATTAGAACCCTTGTAAATAAAAATATCTCTCTATTGGAATTTAATCACAATTAACGACTTCGTTCGTAACGGACGAATCGTTTTAATAATATTCTATTGATTTTGACATATCGTTATCTCGTGTTACGAGAATTTTTTTGTCATGACATTTGGAAGTGGCTGTAAGAAATAAATGCGTGTAGGGCGGTTCACGAGGGCACTCCTCAATACGTTCCTCGAGATATTCCTAGCTGTAAGGCTTGATCCAACAATGGTAGAGACGACCAAAATCGCTTATTGGATTTCTAAATACATTGGGCGTTCCCTTAAATCGACTTCCGGGCAAAACGACGGCAGCTAAAAAGAAATTAGAATATATGTTTTGATATCTTTGTATTAACTATTTATTATTTTATCTTATCTATACATATTATATATTATTATATATTTTATTACTATATGTTATTTTATATGTTACTCATTTTTGCATTTCTTAAGAATCATGATATAAAAAAAAAAACAATCTTAAAAAATTATTTAGAAATTAATATCTCGTTAATTATTTAAAAAATTGCAAAATAATATAGATACTAGAAAAATATTCAAAAAATTATATGCGCATATATGGATGTTCTAAACTTTTTAATACACCGTTTGTGGGTAGAGCGAACTAACTGAGTCGAAAACTATCCTGTCTATCTATTTTGCAATTTTCGTAATTTTTTTAAATTTTCCAATACAGAATTACCCGAGCAGAATGTTTAAACTCATCATATAAAATTTTAAAATATCTTTAAGAGTTCTTTAAGAAACAACTTTAATATTTTAAAGAACTCAAAGTCTTAAAGTTATCTTAAAACCTTAAAGTTGTCTTATATTGATTTTACCCGCTTATTCGACAATCTTAGAAATTACTTGGAAATTAACATCTCGTTAGCTACTTAAAAAATTGCAAAATAATAGAGGATTTTTCAACTCAATTTCGATCTATTTGCTCAGAAATGGTGTGTCAAAAAGTGATAACTGTATATTTTTTGATATGTATAGTTTTAATTGATGCTTTCAATTCGCACGATTTTTTTCAAATTCATTATAATTTTCCATGACAAGTTCGTCATTCGTATAAAAGCAGTCGCGAGTATACAAGCGCAATGTTGTTTATAACATTGGTCGGCGCGTGCATTGTGTAACAACGCTATGTAAGAGAGAAAGAAAGGAAGAGGTGACAAATCGCAAGATTTAATACCAAGCCCAACCGAACATTACGCCTGTGCGTAGCAGCTTTTAATGTACTTGGGACCCGTTCCGACTAATTAGACTCGCGGACAGACGATCCGCATGGATCGTCATTGATACAATTGATACAATTGTCTTTAGATTAGAACTCGAAAGAAAAAAAAGGCGGCAAACGAATAATATCAGCAATTATTGACCGAACGATCATTTATTATCGTCAATTTCTCTTCTTTTTTTCATTTTACTGTTCGTCGAATTATTCGCACTAAAAATTCCTCTAAGACTATGATTTCCGCACAACGATACGTACAAATTGCACCTTTTCTCTTTCAAGTTTGTAGATTTACATGCGATTCTGTGACACAAATCAAAATCAAATATCATAATTAGTAATAATCTTGTCATAATAACAAATAATCAATAAATATTTCTAGTAATTCTCGCGTTAATATTAAATTTTCACAAAAGCGTTAAAGTGCGAATATATAAAATTAATATCCTGCACTGAAAAAAAAAAAAATCAATTTTAATAAATATTTAGTTGGCAGTATTCAATTAAATATTTATTAAAATTGACTATATTTTTTCTCAGTGTGGCTTTGAAATAACTTTCCAAACATGTAACGCTCTAGGAAAAATTTTGAAACATACCCATTCATACCGCAACAACGGTTGAGCACAGTCGAGTTTAACGCAACGTCGCGATATCGCATGAGCCGGACATACAAAATATCCGTATTATCTACACGTTTAATCTACATCTAATGATACCGCTTCAATCGCACACAAGTAATCAGCGATGACGTGATGGACGTCTTCAGTCCAGGTAGTTCTTTCAAAATGCGGACGAGCTGTACGAAACGATCTCGCACTTATCAATGGGACACAACCCTGCACGCATCAAGGACGGACGGAAACTGGCCACATGCTTTAGCCGGTGCGATCCGGCGTGGTTCTCTGCGGCAAAGGCGCGATCAGCGCGACTCGGCTTAACTCGACTCAACTCGACACGACTCGGCTCGCCGAAGACTCCTCGATCCGCGTTTTAACGCGGCGGCGGCTAGATTCGGCTCGGTATACTTGGTATCTCCAATGGTTCAGACCGATCTTTTTTTTCTTTTCGTTTCACTCTTCACTTCTCCTCCCCCTGGATCTCGATTTGTCAAAATCGGACGTGTCCCAACACGTCCCCTCGATGCCTTTGGCGGCGAATCTTCGTCGAGGGCGAAATGGATGATAAGTAGAAAGAAAAAGAGGTAGACGAACCTCTGCCGGATCAGTCACACTCGAATTCGTATCCCTCTCGAGAGCCAGAAGAAGTATGTGAACTGATCAGTGCGTCGCATGTGCAGCTGTATCGCACGTAATGCTTGTCGCAATGTTGTCAACTTCTAGGCTGTTCCTGCATATCTATTTTCGCTGAATGCGGTAAACCGATCATCAGAATTATAGCTGATTGTATTTGGCCTGTTTGATCTTCGATTTTTTGACTATGTCCTCCGCGAGACGATTTTAAATCATTTCCCTTACAGCACAAAGTTGCACAAAAGTTGCAACAACATTTCAGAGACTTTGCAGCGACTTTGCTGCAAATTCTGTGCTGTATGAGTCACATCACGTGCTTCGCTTCAAAGCGATGTTTCGCGCGATTCATAGCGGAATGGTCCTATTTTGGACGATGCGAGAGATAAGGCATGTCACAACTTATAAGGCAAGGAAATTACTATTGTAATAAAAAAATGCTCCGTCTAACGTGGCATTTGTAACATATCGTGTTTTCGAATCCTCTTCGAAAAGTTTGTGTGCTACAAAATTTCGCCGGTTCAATATTATTATCGGTATTGCGATTATTTTTCACGTGATCTTCGCAAGATCATCTGAATAACGATCTAGTTGATTATTTATGGACTCTGTAAGTGAAATATAAAAATAAACAATATAGGATAGTGCAAGACTATTTCGTCATTTTCAACCTTAAAGTAATATAAAATTTATGGTAACAATTGCAGTAACGTGTTTAACAACCTTATCATAACTACAATCATGACTGCTTCTTACATAAGACCTTTAAATATGTGCATATGACCTTTAAATATTTAGTATACGCTGTTCAGAAATATAAATAGTATCGTGAGAAATGGAAAATAGTCCTGCTCTCTATCCTATTGTAAATTAAATGAAATAAAAGGCGCAGTGGCTTATTAGAATACTTAATAGAGACTAGCTTTCCTCGATAAGATTACGTTATCGTGAGAACTCGATAGAAATACACAGCTAAAACAATCCTGTTTGCCATATGCATATATTCCACTAGCTGAGCCTCCCTCGTAGATTTCGTTCCGCATCGTAATCGCGTAATCGCATAATCCGTTAAAATAAAATATTTTTCAATGAGCGTAAGTTCTCTTGCAAAAAGATACGAAGTGGGTTACAGCTGTATATCATTCCGCTATGTCTCTAGTTCTCGCATTGCGAAATTGCTTATGGGAACATTCTGTCTGCATATGAAACGAACAGTTTCAACAATTAATAATTCTAATCTTATATGCTCTAAATTTGGTTGTCGCCTCGTACTTTTATCAAGCGGAGTCAATCGATTGCTTGTGACAGTGCCTCTCCTTCTCGTCTAATAAAAATTCCAACGCAGACCATGGCATGGATCCTCTTTGTTTCCTCTGTTGCGTTCTTACCGCATCTACTTGCATAAACACATACATATATTAATATTCGATATGATATCTCGCGATTCACCCTCTTTTTCTACAAGTATCAATTTATGGCGTAAAAAGGAGTGAAGCTTTAGCTGAAAAATAGATGGATGATTATTCGCACGCGACAGAAATGCCTGTTAGCCACATGTCAGTAATACCGGCCCAGACATTGCTACCGCTATCACCATCATCGCCACCACTGTTACCGTCGTCGCCGTGTCGGAGGCCGACATCGTCGGCCCCAGTGCGAAACCCGAAGGCTATTTATAGTAGGGAACGGCTTCTAGTTCCCACTGCGTGAAAAATCGCAACTGGTTTCTCGCGAATGCGAATGGAATAGGGAGAGAGAGAGAGAGAGAGAGAGAGAGAGAGAGAAGAGAGAGAGAGAAAAAGAATGACTCGGTGTCTCGGCCGAAGTCGTCGCTCTGCATTAGCCGCTCCTCTAATGAGCAAATAGCTCTCTGTCGAAGGCTCTCACGAGAGTGCACCTGATGGTAAACGCAATGCGAATTATGTATGAAGCGTAATCGATAAACAAATAAATCAAGGCGAGTATGGTAAATACTTAATAAAAAACGAATGTTACTCTCATCATGAATTAACATGATGTTCATTTGAATCCTGATCTATGCTCCGATTACATATGACAATGGAGGTCCTGTTACAAACGTATACCGCTTACGTTCTTGAAAGTCAGGAAAGAGTAATCACCTGTTTAAACTGCAGCTTAGCGATTGCGGGCAAGAAGACAGCGGCTTGAGAACTTTCAATGTGCTTGCTGACATTTTCGTCTTCTTTTTCAATTAATTAAAGACACACGCGCTTGATAAACGTAAAATGTGTCATATCGAGAGAATCGTGCAAAAATTTTGTTTGTCCGATTTGCATAACCGCGTAACCCGCATTCTCGCGTGCAAGAAGAAAAAAAATCCACCGATCTAGGTCGAGTTTTGCTTAACGCGAAGGATGCCAATTGCGTTCCTTAGACGCATGATCAGCTGCTGCTCCTTTCTCCTTCTGCGTACCTACGCTTTATGCAAATCTATCTGAACAGGCCTTAACGATTATCTTTTCTGCTGAAGGGAATCGCGTTCTGACGAGTAAAACGAGAAAAGGAGAAGGAGGAACATCTCTAAAGCAAGACAAGATTTTTTTTTTATTTCTATATAGAAGAACATACTTGTATCTCTCTCTCTCTCTCTCTCTCTCTCTCTCTCTCTCTCTCTCTCTCTCTCTCTCTGCCTTATTCGTCTCATGCAACGTTCATTAACTGTAGGATATTTTTTAAGACATTTCTTTCCGCCTATCTTTCCGAGCATGATAATTTATTCTCAATGAAAGTATCGTAAACGATACCACTTTCAGCATCGATACTGTTCGGAGAATCCGTATAGACTCGAAAATGTTGTCATCAACAAACACAACTATTTACTGCTAATCGTACAAGTAAATTTATCGTCACGCGAGCGCGTTTCAAATTGAATCTGGCTCGGTAAAACACGTAATGGAGAGTGAGTTAAAAATTCGCGAGCTGGAATACATTGAAAAGGCTGCTGTCCTTGCAAGGGCGCCACGCTGCGCCGCAATACACCTCGCCTTCTTGGTAGCCACGTCGCGAAGACAGGAAAGGTGTTTGCCCCTATCTGGCTTGTCTCGGTTTTTCACTCGAGCTCAAGCGACCGTTTTTAGAGTGTATAGACCAACGAAAGATAAAGATGAATGGACGAGGTTTCTATTTCTCTCTTTCTCTCTTTATTCTTCTTTTTTTTATATTCATATCTTTTTCCTTTACGTTTTTTTTTAATTATCTGTTTATTTTTATATATATTCTTTTTGCAGTTCTCATCTTTTATAATTGTAAGTTTATTTTTAGAGAGCTTATCTTAAAACTCTATAAACGCACTATGTTTATCTATTTCTATGCGAGATAACTCCTGATTTATCCTATCATATCTCCAGTCAAATGCAAAAGAATCGTAAGAGATATGTAGCTAAGATATCGCCACTTCATACTCTTATAGGATGACGTCCTCTCAAGTGTTAAAATTATATATAAATTATATATAAATTGTCAACATATAATACATTTCCAAGTTAAAATATAAAATACAGAAAAAAAAGAGAAAAAGTAGATACATGTAGAATGTGTACATACATATTTATCTTTACTTCTTTGTTCTCATTTTTTCTCCTTTTTTTTTTTATAGTATTATAATTTTTTTGTCTTTTGTATTTCACATGAAAAATTAATACGCGATATTGACATATTGGCATACATAGAAATAAATTCCACGAACATCTTATATGAATGCAAAAATATTTTGAAAACATAATTTGTAGAGAAGAAAAGAATCTTAAGATAGCATTGCGTTCACTTTAGCAAAATATTATTTCTTTTTTTGTATTCACGGAGAACTTCTCATTAATAATCATTTTTCAGACAAAATTTTGCACACGTACCTACAAATTGGCCTTCCATTAAGATTATTGCGAAAGCACCGCTAATTTGCAAACGACACATTTTACGTTGTGGCTATCGCGAGACGTCGTGACTTAGTCAGCACTTACATAAGAAATAAAACTGCGCGGTTTAAAGAGGTTTAAGGTCAGAAATATGCAACAATGTGATGCGAGTATGCGTCTAGCAGCAAATATGACGTTATTGCTCTGTCACGTCGCAAACATCTTCAAATATCGTCCATGTTTGTTCGCTTACATTAGTGTAAACACTAGTATATAGCAAGCCTAGCCTTATATTGCATAGGAAAATGTAGGGAAATACTATAGCATACATTATGTATATTATAGATTTTCTTATTTTCGTATGTGATATTTTTCAAAAATAAAACCCGAGGATATAAATCGTGTAACTTTTTCTTTAGAGCGAAAACGTGGAAAGTGAAAATTTTTATGTATATACACTGAGAAAAATTTTGGAAAATAAACGAACCAGAAAATTCTGATCATTTCAATCATAATTCTGATTATATATATCTTGACTAGAATTATGATAGATTCAACCAGAAAATTTTAATTTTTAAGAATATACACATATGAAAAATTTTCACGTTTTCTCTAGGGAAAAAATTTATAATTGAATACTTCTAAATACGTATTATATAATTGTTTGGAATGGATTCCAATCAGAAATTGTTCAATTATATCCTACATTTCTATTGTGTTTGTCTAGGGAAAACGAAATAATTCCGATCGGAATTCCCATTACAAATGGTTCTAAAAACATGTCCAAGCGTGTAAATCTAAACATTCGTTGTTTGCTCCACAAATTGGAAACACGCCTCCGCTTATTATCTCATCAATTTTCGTCATTTAATATTCCAGCAGGTTCTTACGTGCGCATCAACGTCTTTCGCGTCCCTTCCTTTTCAATTACATTCGAGTGATACATTTCTAATCTTCGTTTTCGTTAGGTTTAATTATCGAGGACTAGCAAGGTATAAAGTCCCAAATTAACACCTAAAAATCGATGAACTTTTATTCCGATCTTGTTCTTAGGAAGCAAACAAAACTATGGAATAGCAGAATTATAAAACTATTCGGCTTTTTACAATAAGCCATTACCTAAGCTTTAAGTCGTAAATCGTAAGAAATTAATCAATTTAATAGAGATAATTTGATTGGATGCACTGGATGCGCGCATTCAATGCATTCAAAGCTCAGATTAGCTCCTTCCAAACCTGATTTTATTGGTATCATAAAAAAAATTTTTTTTAATTCAATTCATACGCAATGTAATAACTAATCCATATTAAGCAATTAACTTTTTTCAAAATTTTGATTCTTTCTTCAACATATACATTGTTATATATATCCTTGATAATGTATTATATCTTTCAACAGAATTAAATAATTTCAACGGATTTCAATATCTTCAAATTGATGTACATTATAATGCGAAGTCTAAAGATTAAAGTTAAAACTGTACACAAATTAACGTAAAAATGTTTAATATAAATATAAAAACGGATTCAATCATGAAATTCTCAATACATTTTAATATGCTGTTAAGTAAAATCGGTATTTTATAATTCGAAATATTTGCATTTTACTTTTACATGGATTAGATCAGTGTATAACAACTTTCATATGCACTAATATGTCTAATTGAATTTACTAATAGTCAATTATTCTTTTCACATTCGACTGTGAATGTGATTTTCACATTCATAGTCTCTTATTTCAGAACTATCTCAAGTAAAATTTTAAGATGTTAATAATTTTCTTTGATAATAAGATCGGTATTCATAATCGATTCTTATATTTGAGATT